CTGGGCGTCAGTTGTCAGTTGCCCCATCTGGCTCAGCAGGGGTCCAACGTTGCCCCTGCTTTTCCTCAGGCTCCCCACATATCTGAAAAAGGACTTTTTATTGTCCTTGATGCTCAAAGCTAGTTGGAGTTCAGTTGCAGCCTTGGCTTTCCTGGTCTGCTCCCTACAGGACCGGACCAGTGCAGAGTAATCCTCCTTGGAGGTGACTCCCATCCTCCACCCTTTGTAGGCCTTTCTTTTTAGCCTCAGGAGGTCTGCCAGGTCCCAAGTTTCATTGACTTGGGTAAATATAATTTGAAGGTGAGAGTGCTGATTTGCTGGCTGACTTTGAATAGATTCAGATGATGGTATTCCAATTTGTTTGAAGCTTGAGTAAAGTCAAAAGTCTGTGGTGACATTCACACTGCATCACAAACTCTGTCATGGGATGCTTCCTAGTGGCATTTGTCTGCACAAGAGTGATGGGTGTTTTGGCAAAGTTGAGATGCTCTTTCAGTTCGTACCAGGCATGGCATAGACTCTGAACTAAGTTGGTAACTTTAGGAGTATAAGGGACCGTAGCTAAGCACAGATGAAAAATTGTGGATGCAATCTCTAATTGTTATACGAGGATCTTTGATGGGTCAATAAGTAGTCAGAATTGTAGCAGGTACATGCAAGAAAAGGAGGAGGGAGACCCACTGGGTGATAACTGACAAGATAACAGAGACACTGTCCAAGGACTTGGCTAATCTGGTCAGTCTGCCCATCAATCTGGAGACAGTAGGTAGAAGGTTGTAGTTCAATGTGTGGGCCGGCTCCCGATCTCGGGGGCGAGCCGGGCCCGTCTTTGTGCACGCGGGCTGTGGCCAGCAGCCCGGGCACGCGGGGCCGGAGAAAACCGCGGCACAGTATGGTACGCTCGAGCTAGAATCAGTCACGGAGGCGTAATGGTTGATTGAAAAGATTATTTACTTACACCCAAGGTGGTCGCGGTGTAGGCTGGACAGCTTTCCAGGCACAGCTCCGCTTGAGTTCTCGGTGGAGGACTCTAACAGACTCGGTTCCTGACCCCGGAGCGGTTTAGGCTCCGCGGGTTCAATAATTCGTTCTCACGGAGCAGCCGTATCTCCATGGGTTACTCGGTTCCCAGGTCCCCCGGAGCTGTTAAGACTCCGTGGGTTCGACAATTGGGTCCATAGGATAGGAATACGTCTGGACTGCGATCGGCGACGGGGAGAGGCTAGAGGTTACATGCCCCGGAGTCGTTAAGGCTCCGAGGGGACGGTAAATAAGTCCCCCGGAGTTGTTGAAGCTCCGTGGGTTCAACAAGTTAAACCTCTGTTGCCCTCTTAAGGAAAAAGCTGGGTTCGAGAGGATCAGCAGCGCTTAGAGATCCTCACACTCCTTTCCCGAACTCCACGTGCTTTCTCTCTCTCCG